TTAAATGATGGAGAGTTTGTGTGTGTGCAGTGGCTAACAATTTTGAATGTAAAATTATATCTTCAATGATGCAGTGTGTGTGTGTAGCTTGAAGAAACAACAATTTTATTGTAGGCACTATATTTAATTGTTTTTTAAACTGTGGGTCCCGACCCTAAATGGGATCCCCTTAGTTCAATTTTAGCAATAGTAAAAGGTTTCTGAATGCCACCCATTTACACACATCTGTTGGCAACAACATCCAGTTTTCACAGTTGATTCTGCAGAAAATGCTTCAGCTGAACTCCAGAAAAAGAAAAATCTGCTTGTTAGCGACCCTTGTAAATTACAATTTATTATCACTAAATGTTTAATTTTTATACCTGTTACCCTACCTGGGGTCATGTAAAACTTTATCGGGCAGAAAGGCATAATGAAAAAACTTCTGAGGTGGAAAGGGTCACAAGTGGAAAAAGTGTAAAGAAGCCTTGCTCTACTGAAAATAGAAAAGGACTCCAGGAGTGCTAAGGGAGTACAGAACTCGGCTAATTTCACCTATTGTGCAAGTGAGAGAATAAGGGGACAGGAAGAGAAAAGGTGCAAAGATCCCCCCAAAGTATCTATTTATATGTCGGGTCAGTGAGGGCAGAGAGATAAGAGATGAGAAGATTGTGAGTGTCAGGAAATGACTAACCCTTTGCCTTCTGCCCTCTGTTAAGATTTTACTTGAGTGTTGTTGCATTTATGTAATCGATTATGTTGTTGTTTGGATTTTATTTATGTTTGGATTTTATTTATTGTATTGCGTTGTTGGGCTTGTCCTCATGTAAGCCACCCCGAGTCCCCATTGGGGAGATGGTGGCGTGGTACAAATAAAGATTATTATTATTATTATTATTATTATTATTATTATTATTATTATTGTTATTATTATTATTTCCCACATTAAAATCTTGCCAGAATAATTGTAAACCAGACATCTGTGATACCTTTTTCATGTGCGTATCTTCCAAACCAGAGTATCACAAATGACAAATCTAGATGGCAAGAAAGCTATTCAGGATTAGGCCTCAGAGGAAGAATGGAGCTGAACGAATGGAAGCTGATATGGAAGTAGATGCTGTTTCTAGCTCCTGTCTCCCAGGTACATTTTTTTTTTTACCAGGGACCATTTTGACCAGTGATCACTCTCCAACATTAGTACCAAAAGGGTTACGAATCCATTTTTGGTCAACTTTAAATTCAGTTTGGTTATTTGGGGTGCTGTTTCAGAAAAATTGCATTGGAAAGACCACATCAGCTCTAGTTTCTGATACAGACCATATGCCATCTAATAGTCACCATCTGCTTGCCTACAGAAAACTATATTTAATAATCCAGAGCTGATGTAGTAGTAATTTTTCGTGGGTAGCCAGCCTCTCCCCACCCAACATCCCCATTGCCTCAGCACTATAAGAGGGTTTCACGAGACCAGTCGCTCTTGTTGTTGCGTGGTTTTGAGGCAACAGTATAGTAATGGTGAGGCCGCGGACCATATTTTCGTTCTTGTGGACCACTGGTGGTCTGCAGACCACAGGCTGGGAACCACTGCTTTATTTATTTATTTATTCAGGACATTTATATGCCACTCTTCTCATCCCAAAGGGGACTCAGAGCAGCTTACAAGTAAAAAGTAAATACAATATATTATATTATTACCATAGCACAATATTAATATTATATATTACATTGTACTACAACATTATACTGTAATATTATTAGTAATATTACATTTAATATAAATATATAATTATAATATCATATTAGTATTAATATTATATTGTATTATATTTAGCATTTCACAGTTTCTTTTCCTAGTCGGAATACCAGCGACAATGCACAGCTTAATGTATTACTGTTGCTTCCAGAAGAATCTCTCTTGTCAAGTGGTTTGAGCGCCAGTGGCCCTTTTATAGCTCCCATAACTTTTTTGGGGGAGTATTTGCAATCTGTGGATGGTTGGTTCTGTAAATACAGCATTCAGGGATAGGTAAGGTTGACAGTATTTGCTATTTCACATAACATCAATTTTAGATTAAGACTAGCCCTTTTATACCTTAGCTATCATATTCGATTAAATCATAGTTGCCATGTTTTCTGCATTGATTATAGGCATGGTGGAAAGCTAATCCATGCAGTCCCTGAGTTACAAACATTCAACTTACAAACGACTCAGTGAGAAATGGGGGTGAGACCCTGGAAGGGAAATTCACTCCTGAAAGAGTTATCATTGGGGAAAGATGTCTCCACTTAAGCTTTATCGCCAATCCTTGTTTCCACAACAAGCCACATTTTTCAAAATCCAATTGTCAAAGGGAAAGAAAGGGAGGTGAACTCTTCTGAATAGGGGCACAGACAGCAAAACACTGCAGGGGTGTTTACCTTTCTCTAATCCACAATATCTGCTTTGAACTGGGTTATCTGACTCCACACTGCCATATATTCCAGTTCAAAGCAAATAATGTGGGATTTTCTGCCTTGATATTCTGAGATATAGGGCTGTTTGGAAGGGCCCTTGGGCAGATTATTTATTTATTTATTTATTTTCGGTATTTGTAGCTCGCTTTTCTCAGCCTTATGGTGACTCAAGGAGGCTTACAGGAATTGGCCGAATTTGATGCCATACATTCATAAAATACAATTAAAAACATTCAACCTATTATAAAGACCATAAAAACCATTAAAACATATCATCACCAGTGTCGTCCTGTTAAATTCATGGTCCAACAGCATCGTCTAGTCATTTCGCATGTCGAGGATTCCACTTTGTAGCCCCATTTCTGAAGGTTGGCTCTGCATCTCATGGTGCCAGAGCGCAGTCTGTTCAGTGCCTTCCAAGTTGCCCAGTCCTCTGTGTGCCCAGGAGGGAGTCTCTCATTTGGTATCAGCCATTGGTTGAGGTTCTGGGTTTGAGCCTGCCACTTTTGGACTCTCGCTTGCTGAGGTGTTCCAGTGTGTCTCTGTAGATCTTAGAAAACTATTTCTAGATTTAAGTTGTTGACGTGCTGGCTGATACCCTTATTTTACTGATGAGACGCTAATGATTGTTATATTGATGTTTAATTGTTGATGATGCTACTGTTTTAACTGTCCCATAATCGCTTTGTGATGTTTTTGCATTGAATTTTGCTGTTGTTAACCGCTTTGAGTCGCCTGAGGGCTGAGAAAAGCAGTATATAAATGAAATAAATAAATACATTATTATTATTATTATTATTATTATGTTCTTGTAGGTTTTTTTCGGGCTATAGGGCCATGTTCTAGAGGCATTTCTCCTGACGTTTCGCCTGCATCTATGGCAAGCATCCTCAGAGGTAGTGAGGTCTGTTGGAAATAGGAAAATGGGTTTATATATCTGTGGAATGACTGGGGTGGGGCAAAGAGCTCTCTGCTGAAGCTAGGTGTGAATGTTTCAGCTGACCACCTTCATTAGCATTTGAAGGCCTGGCTGAGCCTGGGAAAATGTTCTGTTGAGAGGTGTTAAGATGTGCCTGGTTGTTTCCTCTCTGCTGTTTTGCTGTTGTAATTTTAGAGTTTTTTAATACTGGTAGCCAGATTTTGTTCATTTTCATGGTTTCCTCCTTTCTGTTGAAATTGTCCACATGCTTGTGGATTTCAATGGCTTCTCTGTGTAGTCTGACATGGTGGTTGTTAGAGTGGTCCAGCATTTCTGTGTTCTCAAATAATATGCTGTGTCCAGGTTGGTTCATCAGGTGCTCTGCTATGGCTGACTTCTCTGGTTGAGTTAGTCTGCAGTGCCTTTCGTGTTTCTTGATTTGTGTTAGGACAATGCTGCGTTTGGTGGACCCAATGTAGACTTGTCCACAGCTGAATGGTATACTGTAGACTCCTGCAGAGGTGAGAGGATTGCTCTTGTCCTTTGCTGAATGTAGCATTTATTGTATGATATTTGTGTAGATTGTTTGTATGTTGTGTTTCCTCATCAGCTTCCCTATGCGGTCAAGGGAACCACTGGGAACATCAAGGGAACCACTGAGGTGGTCAGCTGAAACATTCACACCTAGCTTCAGCAGAGAGCTCTTTGCCCCACCCCAGTCATTCCACAGATATATAAACCAATTTTCCTATTTCCAATAGACCTCACTACCTCTGAGGATGCTTGCCATAGATGGAGGCGAAACGTCAGGAGAAATGCCTCCAGAACATGGCCCTATAGCCCGAAAAAACCTACAAGAACCTAGTGATTCCAGCCATGAAAGCCTTCGACAATACATTATTATTATTATTATTAAAGGGTGTCAAACTCTATTTACAATGTCAATGCGGCATCCTCATCCATGTAAACCTTTGAGCAAGTCACACTCTCTCAGCCTCCAAGGAAGATTTAAAAGCAACACCTGCCCAGGAATGTTTTAGGGTCGCCATGAGTCAGAAACGACGACTTCCAAAGCAAACAACAAAGAGGAACCCCTCCCCCCCCCTACCCTCCGCCCTTCAGCAGCGGCGTTCGAAGGAGACGAAAGAGCGAACGACAATGAGGCGAAATGTCCAAAGGCGGCCCCCTTAAACCCGGCTTCTCGGCGCGCGCGGGCTTGAGGCGCTCGTGATTGAATTCTGTCAGGAGGAGGAGGAGAAGGCTTCTCTGAGGCAGGCAGGCAGGGAGGCAGCCGCCCTGCAGGGGTCACTGCCGCCCCGGGAAGGCGCCGGGGAGAAGGAGGTGGGAGGGCGGAGGGCGGACGGCGCCAGGGATCGGGACGAAGAGGAGAAAGGAGAAGCCTCGAGCGCGGCGGAGCCTCGGCGGAGTGGCCCCTTCCTTCCTTCTTTCCCTCCATCCACCTTCAAGCCTGAGGCCTCAGGAGCCGGGCTGGGCCGGGGCCGGGCGGCGCGAGCGCTCCTTTCTCGGCCGCTGATTCGCCCTCTTTCTCGGGAGACAGAGGGGCAGGTGCGCCGGGCTCTCTCTCTCTCCCTTTCTCCCTCCGCCTGCCTGTCTCTCATCCAGCCTCCAAAGAAGTAGCCTCCGCCACCAACCGGGGCAGAGAGTTCCACTGCTGAACAGCTCTCACAATCAGGAAGATCTTCCTCATGTCTCTCTCCTGAGGAGGAAAGGAGGAGGAGGAGGAGGAGGAGGCCCTCACTCCGTCTTCATTCAGAGGAAGGAGGGAAAAGGGAAGAGGTTGGAAAAGGAGGAAGGCTGGAGAAAGTGCCTTCTGTCAGGAAGGGGTCCCCACTTTTCCAGGTAAGATTTGAGTCTCCATCATTTTCACTATAGATCAGGTATGGCCAAACTTGGCCCCTCCCTCGAGGTGTTTTGGACTTCAACTCCCATCATTCCTAACAGCCTCAGGCCCTTTCCTTTCCACTCTATCCATCCATCCATCTAAGGAAGGGGCCTGAGGCTGTTAGGAATGGTGGGAGTTGGAGTCCAAAACACCCCGAAGGAGGGACCAAAGTTTACCCATTGCCACTGCCACTCAGATTTAGAGCTCCCCAAAAGACCCAGCTTCATTTTGATATCCCTTTCTTTCTTTTACTGTCCTGACTAACATAATTAATGTCTTTCTTCTTTTCTTACATTGTGAGCTCACTTGCCTTTCTGGATTTAATCAAAGGTGTTTTGACTCCTGGTGTTTTGGACTCCAACTCCCACCATTCCTAACAGCCTCAGGCCCCTTCCTTTCCCCCCTCAGCTGCTTAAGCGTGAGTTTGCTGTGAATTTTCCAGGCTGTATGTCCATGTCCCAAGAAGCATTATTTCCCACATCTATGGCAGGCATCCCCAGAGGTTGTGAGGTCTGTTGGAAACTAGGAAATGGGGTGTATGTATATGTGGAATGAGTAGGAGAAAGAACTCTTCTCTGTTTGAGGCAAATGTGAGTGCTGCAGTTCATTAATGAGATGCTGAGGATTTATATTTTATTAGCTGTCCCCTGCCACGCGTTGCTGTGGCCCAGTCTGTGTAGATGTGTTTTGAGTGTGTATATATTTGTGTGTATGTGTCTATATGTGTGTTTGCATATATATATATGTGACTTTAAGCATGCATTGTAATGGTTTTTTTGCTCTTTAAGTCTCTTACGTTGTGTTTTTCAGAGTGTTGATCACTCGTTGGCCTGAGAGGTATATTGTGTCCAAATTTGGTGTCAATTCATCCAGTGGTTTTTGAGTTATGTTAATCCCACAAATGAACATTATATTTTTATTTATATAGATTGGTTTCATTATTTTATTTAATGTTATTTATGCTAAATGTTTTGATTGTTATTTATGTTACTGTGGGCATCGAATTGTGCTGTTTGTAAACCACCCTGAGTTGCCCTCGGGCTTAGAATGGTGGTAAATAAATATAGTAAATAAATAAATAACCTTGATTAACATTCAGTAGCCTTGCAACTTGAAGGCTTGGCTGCTTCCTGCCTGGGGGAATCCTTTGTTGAAAAGTGATTAGCTGGCCCTGATTGTTTCTTTTTGGAATTTCCCTGTTTTTGATTGTGTGTCATTTCGGGACTGTCTTTACTTTGAATAGAATAGTGCAGTGGTTAAGCAGCTGAGGGGGGAAAAGGAAAGGGCCTGAGGCTGTTAGGAATAGTGGGAGTTGGAGTCCAAAACACCTCGAGGAAAGGCCCAAAATTTACCCATTGCCACTGCGACTCTTATTAAAATGTGTCCCTGTTTGTAGAAAGTCTTGGCATAGAGTGTTGTTGGTGCGGCTTCTTTCTTTCTGCCTTCCCTGTTGCCACACAAAAGAGCAGTTTCCCAAGGGAGAGAGAGGGAGGCAGCGGGGAGGAATGCCAGCAATCATTAATCCAGGGAGCAGAACCTCAGGATCAGACTGGACCTCTCAGGAGCACATGCCCATCCTGCAGGTCTTTTTTTGGCATTTGGAAGGGCTGTACCCCGAGAGTGGGCTCCCGCCTCTGCCCCCAGTGATATCCCACTTCTGTGTGCGGTTTTAGCTTCTGTTTGATAGTAGATGAATACTTAATAGTAGAAGTGTAACCAAAATTGCATTTAACAGAAAGACACTAATAGAGGTTATAGCAGGCATTGGCAAACTTTAGGCTTCCAAGTGATTTGGACTTCTACTGGTTGTTAGGAATTATGGGAGTTGTAGTCCAAAACACCTGGAGGGCCAAAGTTTGCCCATGCTTGGGCTGGACTATATTAATCAGTATGCCCTGCATACTCCTTTATCTATTAGTCTGGATATTTTTGTCAAAAAAACGAAGCCACATAAATTGTGTTGACTTATCTAAAAAAACTATGTTAAAATAATTGCTGGTATCTGTCCTAAGTTTAACTCGTTTCAAAAAAGGAACCATCTCTTTTTCTGTGTATAGTGGCAAACAGCAAGAGCTTAGTTAGTCTAGGAAATCCTAAAAGAATGGTTTTTCTGTTGTCGAAGGCTTTCATGGCTGGAATCACTGGGTTGCTGTGAGTTTTCCAGGCTGTATGGCCCTGTTCCAGAAGCATTATCTCCTGATATTTCACCCACATCTATGGCAGGCATCAGAGGTTGTAAGGTTTGTTGGAAACTAGACAAGAAACAATCAGAGCCAGCTAATCACCTCCCAACAAAGGATTCCCCTAGGCAGGAAGCAGTCAAGCTTTGAAGCTGTAAGGCTATTCAGTTCTAATCAAGGTGCTCAATTGCAACATTCACACTTGCCTTAAACAGGAAAGAGATCTTTCTCCCACCCTGGACATTCTACAGATATATAAACCAGTATGGTGTCCTCAGATAGTTTTAAACAGCTGATTTTAAAGTAGATACAAGTGATTTTAATGTTTGTGTATATTTATAGTTATTTTATGTCCCGGCATGGAATCTTGCCATATATATGTTGTGCTCCGCCCTGAGTCCCCTTCTGGTTGAGAAGGGCAAAATATAAATGTTATTTATTTATTTAATAAATAATTAAATGAGCAAACCCCACTTGCCTAGTTTCCAACAGACCTCACAACTTCTGAGGATGCCTGCCATAGATGTGGGTGAAACATCAGGAGAGTATGCTTCTGGAGCATGGCCATACAGCATGGAAAACTCACAGCAACCCAATTACTCTACTGCTCTACTCTCTTTGTTGTGGTCTTTTTGAATGCTTGGGCAGGGGCAGTTGGTCCACTGAGGCGGCATTGGTGTTTTCTGCTTTCCAAAGAATGACTTCAGCCTATCCACAATAATATACAAATCCACAATTTTAGCCACAAAACCAGCCCTCAACATGGGGTCGACTAATGCATGAGTATTATACGGTCGGGTTATTGGTTAGCTGCTCTCCTAACGGGACTCTTTGGCTCCTGGTTGCAAGTGGATTTCCTTGGTTGCACAGTGAACAAAGGCTGGTGCTCTCCCTGCAAACTTTAGAATGGATGTAGCTTGCAAAAGTTTTTAAGATGCGTGTAATTATGATTTTCTCTTTACTGGCAACCAATGTATTTTTCCCTCCTTCTGACTTATAGGGTGGCAAGAACAACACTCGCTTTTTAAAAATAGGAAATCCAAGGAGGATTTCCCCCTCCCTTTATTGTTTAGCTCATCCATCTTGTTAACTCACAGCTGGAGCCACAACTTCACAAGGGCAAAGAATAACCTGCTCTCTTCTGCTTCTTCATTCTGGACTGCCAAGGACATTAATTTATTGTTTCCCTGGTACTGAGATACTCTGCTCTGCCAACCTCTCAATTTCTGAGCCCCTTGGAGTTGCACCGTCATCTCTTCTGACTTCAAAAGCACCGAAACAGCCATGGGCTGCTTCTGTGCTGTCCCAGAGGAATTTTATTGTGAAGTTCTGCTTCTGGATGAATCCAAATTGACCTTAACTACCCAGCAGCAGGGGATAAAGGTAAGCCCAGCCTGTTCTGTTTCTAACTAGGGTTACCCTGGGCGCTTGTCAATAGTGCTTGAAATGCTTTGTCTGGAGTTGAGCAATAGGGGGCAAATCTGCATGGAAACACACTCTTCAGTAGGAGTGCTTGTCAAAACAGACTGCTGTCTGATTGGGGAAATGGACATGCCAAGAGGTGTTTAACTTTGCATCAAGTTTCCTTACCCATGAAGAAGTTGTAGTGTTTAGAACCAAGGAACTGATTTAAGTTTTAAAAGCAGAATTGTATATACATCAATTGTCCTTGAGATTTGAACCATGTCTGTTGTGTCTGAATTATATTATAGTGAAAATGTTTAAAAGAGAGGAAGAAGTGCCAGCAACTGTGGAGTGTAGATATTCAGATATCACTGGTGTGAGATTGTTTGAAAACATTGTTCTCTAGTTGTTTCCTTGTGTTGTGTTATTTGCTTTCCATTGTATGTTTCAACATTATATTTTGGTACATTTTTAAAAATAGTAATGTATATCAGCAGTATATTCCCAGTGTTGGACTAATAGCAGCTGATAGTATTAATCTTGTGGCTTAACTAAGAAGCTTGCTCTTCAAAGGCTCACAAGTATTAGTCAGTACCTGCTGTGGAATTTGCTAGATACCACAGGCATGATACAACCCTTTTAAAATGTATTTTAATTCTTAAGTTTTTCACAAAAAAACATAAACTGCCATGTGCTTCACCTTCCAAATGAAAGCATTGCACATAAATTTATTTTGAATCTTGAAAATTCACCCAGTTAGGAAAACAAAACTTTGTTGCCTTAACTGCATGTAACGTTTTAGAAACCAGTAGATTTTCTGTAAACAGATGTTTGCATTTTGCAGTACCATTGGGTGGGATTCTGCTAGTAGACTAATTGAATCAGATGAGACAATACAAAAGCTGATCCCATAGATTTAATGGTTCTTTTCTAGTCAGGATGAATGATAGAATTCTGATAATTGTCCTTAAGAAACTGGATACAATTTCTTGTTTAGTAGACAAGATAATGTTTACAAGTCTTTTAAATAGATTTTGACTGCTGCTTTTAAAAACCTTTCTCTACTAGGCTTATTTCATAATCAACAATGAGTCTTTGAGAGCCAGTATGATGTAGCAATTTGTGCATTTGCCCAAGGTCACCAAATGCAGTGCAACTCAGGAAAGCAGGGTTTGAGTCCCTGTTCAACTATCGAAACCCATTTGGTGACCTTGGGCAAATCCCACTCTCCCAGGGCCCTTCCACACAGCCCTTATATCCTGGAATATCAAGGCAAAAAGCCCATATTATCCGAGTATGGACTCAGTTAACCCAGTTCAAAGCAGATATTGTGGGATTTTCTGCCTTGATATTCTGGAATATAGGGCTGTGTGGAAGGGCCCTCAGTCCACGCTGTCATACAATCTAGTTCAATGTGGATTTTATACAGCTGTGTGGAAGGGGTCTCAGGGAAAAGCAAAGGCAAGCCCCTTTCTAGGAGCAGCCAAATATGCTGGTTGTAGAATCTCATTGTAATGATTAATTTAATGATTTATTTGAGAATTTACAATTTTAACTGAATTTAAACACGGACATTCAGTAAAGTGGACAAAGGTCACCCTAACCATGTTAGGAAATCAATTTCATTGCATTTCATTGCAAGTACACTGCTGAGAGTAGAAACATAAATAAGTGTAGAATAATATATGTTTCCCCCTAAGTGCAAGACTATTTTGTACAGTACTTTTCAGGGATACGTGTAAAATTATTCAAGGATGCACTTAAAAAGTAATATGTAGAGAATAATCATAAAGGTAAACTTGATAAGAACCAGAATTGTTTTTACATTCATATTTAGTGACCAAATAGTGCAGGTTGAAGCTAGCTTTAAACTTCTACAGCTAGATAAAGCACACTACCATAGTACACATCAAGTAAAGTTGTTAGAAATTCAAAATGTGATATTGCATGGTGAAATCAGCTCTGCAGAATGCAAAGTGTATTGTAGACACCCAGTGCACTGATGCGCATTGTAAAATTTGGAAAGTGAGTGGAAGCCCAAAAAACACCCTAAAGGCATGGCTGGGCAGCCAGTGACTTTTTTTGTGTGTGTCAGGAGTGACTTGAGAAACCGCAAGTTGCTTCTGGTGTGAGAGAATTGACTGTCTGCAAGGATGTTGCCAGGGGGTGCCCCGATGTTTTGATATTTTACCATGCTTGTGGGAGGCTTCTCTCATGTCTCTAATTGAGCTCCTGGGACAGGTAATTGATTTCCTTTACTGCTAACTGCCACTTTCCCTTCTTGTTTCTACCTCTTCTGCCTACAAAGTGTTTATGTGAATCTTGTCCAGGAATGGAAAAAAAAACCCAGCCACATTCTATGTGTTGTCGAAGGCATACATGGCTGGAATCACTGGGTTGTTGTAGTTTTTTTGGGGCTATAGTTGTAGGTTTTTTTCAGGCCCTCTAGAACATAGCCATATAGCCCGAAAAAACCCACAACAATCCACATTCTATGTGGCTGTCAAGCCGCAAAGACTCTGGATTCAGTTTCCAGGCCACCTTCCATGGTTAATGTAATCACCTTTCTGTCTCTGAACCTGTTTCCTAAATGGCAATCTAAGCATCTGCACAGCTAAACCAATTTCTGCCAAACTGGTTCCAAACTGATCTAAGTGATAGTATAGATGAGCCCTTTCTCTTGTGTTGAGAGTAACTGGGGTTGGAAACCCAGGTTTGTTGCCTTGTAATATATAAACTAACCTTAAGCTCAAAAAAAATAAATGGAACTAAAATACATAGGCCATAATCCAGTGTGGCACGAAGAATCAATTAATTGTTAATTCATAATCAAACACTGTTGGTTTTGATGGTGTGCATTGATTTATAACATATGTCCTTCACTTCATTGATTATATTTTCATAGGTTTAAGGAAGTTTACATTTATGTTGAATTGTAGTCTTATTACTGGCTGCCATAGCTTCTCTCTCAAAACATAGGAGTGGAGCTTCTTTTGTTTGTGGTTTATATTTGGAGATGGATATAAGAAGCTGCTTAAAGTTTTGAGATAAATGTACTATTAGAGGTCTGAAATGTTTGGTATGAACAGAAACTCTAGTTTGAATACTGGGAAGGTTCTCTATGGAACAGGAGCTCTGGATTGCAGTTTGGGCACCATTACATTGTTTAAAAATTGTTATGTAGGATCAGTCTGGTAAGATCCACATCTATCCCTACTAGAAAATGATCCCAAGACAATTCCCAGAATGGAACTCAACCCCTACTCTTTAGAAGCTTTATGGGAATTTTAGTTTGGCAGTTATTCCTGTTTGTTGAAGATTGCTAGCCTCAAGGCAGTGCAATTTCCTGGATTCTCTTAATCGATGAAAGCCTCCAATCTTATGCATATTGATCTCAGAATAAATTCCGCTGGATGTATTGAGACTTGCGTTTAAATAAATATACAGATCATGTTGCTTGTCTATAGTATAGACACGGTGCTAGTTACAAGTAATTTTAATAGATTTTGTAGTGCTTAAATCATTTGCCAACATTAAGAAAGGAAAGGTTTATATGAATATATAATATAATTATTCTTGTATTTATTGATTTATTTGCATTTTAATGTGGTGGCATAGGTTGTATGTTGTAATGAATTCTGCTTTAGATAATGTACATGAAAAAGGTACAAAAGAATGTCATGACTTATTTTTAATTAATAGCTGAGGGTTAAAATCTTGAAAACATTTCTTCATGATATGTGGGAATAGAGATATCATCCCTGGAGCTATTAGAAATCTGTGAGAGAAGAATTAAGACAGGTAACAGGTTGCCATTAACCTGAAGTACGTACAAATATTTGTACATTGGTTGTTAATTATAGAAATATTGCTGTTTTAAGACACACAGTTGTTTTGCTTAAATTTTATATATGTAAATAATTCAATCAATGAATGATAATAAATGATTGTTGTAATTAGGTTAAATATGCTTGTGAATATTACCACTGCATATGGTGGGGATGCGACTGCAGCCATTTTTGAGCTCCCTCCACCATATGTGGTGACCGCAGATTCTCCGGTCCGGCTTGGAAGTTTCAACATCCGCCCTATAAGATGACATCTGGCATATAAGATGACCCCCAACTTTTGAGATGATTTTCCTGGGTTAAAAAGTAGTCTTATATGCCAGAAAATACAGTAAATACGGTATTGTCTGGAATCAATTTTCTCCTTCCACCTCATGTTTCAATGTGTAGTCCTAAGCTCAGATGCATCATGCCCATTCTAAGTGTGTAAATCTTTGGCTCTGTGACTGCTCAAAACTGGCATCCCCTCTGTCTGGACAGCCTTCAAATAGTACATCTTTACTAGCAGAACATCTTCATCATCCGGTCTCTCTAATTGGGAAGATGAGAATAGTGGGTGCAGCCTCTGATTATAATTTTTCTCAGAGCTTGAAAGTGACATGTTGCAATGAGTAGTGTTACCTACAACATAGTGTTTTGGAAGTAAGGAAGGCATAATGATGTGTCTTTTGGGAAATAACAGCAGTGCAATACATTTTAGACGGTCATTTGGTGGGGTCATATGGGAAGGATTTTTTGACATATTTTGGGCATTTTTATATTTTTAAACAATGAACAAATTGTAACAAATGGCTAATATCCCACCTAGTAAAAGCAGAAGAAGTTGCAGATGATATTTTATGTCGACAATACATTGATATTTTATGTGTGTTTTTTTTTTTAAAAAAAACATTTGAATCCCTGCTCTTCTAGTATACAGCTATCTCTTTGGAGGTCCTTTATTGCCTTACAGTAGAGTTGGTCTTGAGTTTGACATCCCAAACTGTACATGCTTTGGTAGACAGAAACTAGTCCTTTGTAAAAGGATTGGTAGGGGAAGGTCTTTTTTAAAGATGATACTCTTAAGACCAGACAACAAGAAGGTATTAACAATGATTTGCATCAGTGCAAGCTTTTTGAATAAAAAACAAA